ATTATTTTTTTGATTTTATTTTTAATTTATTTTTTTTTTTACTGTTGTAGTGAAATACAATAGTGTATGGTTTCATGCTCCCAGCTTCTCAGGATAGAGAAAACGAATGTATTTTCATTACTTTAAATTTTATATGCTTATTTGTGTTTTTAATCTTTCAAATTCAGGTGGGTGATTAAATAAACATATTTGGTATGACAACCTTAGAACCCTTGTTAATTTATGCTTTACATCTTTCAGATTAGCAAACAGCTGGCCCTGCTTCCAAATGTTCACATTAGAACAGTCTTGTTGAAACTTGATGGTAAAATTAAAAGGCTTTTGGGGTGAACAAGAACTGAGACTCCTTCACTTTGATAATTCATCAAAGAATATTGATCTTTTTTTGGAAAAAAACATCCAATCTTTTAAGTTTCTATCAGCCATGCTGTCAATTTCTCAATTAATCTGTAAGATAAAATTCTACATTTGTTTTATAAATCAAGCAGTTTTTACTTTTTAGTTTGATGCTAATAGTATGTTATCCTTATAAAAAACACTTAAGAATGCAGTTGTGACATTGTTTAACTTGATTTTTTACATAAACCTTAGGTATTTGTTGATAGTTTAAATGTGGCGCTGTAAGAATCTGTGAACCAAGTAGAGTAGAGCTAAATATTTCAAATTGACGAAGAGGAAGAAGAGAGCAAATGTTGTCCATCTTAATACCTCTGCAGGGACATTAGTATGTGTAATGCTAATTTCGGACAATAAAAGAGAACATCAAATTGACAGTAGATCATTATGTTTCTTATTCTGAAGACAAGCTATAAAGAAAGACTGATTACTGACATCCTGCTGAGACAGTTTGCAGTTGCAGCAGAGGATGATCAATTATTTGGCTGCTGTAGCGCCTCCTAAGTGTGGGCTCCTGATGAGCTAACTGGGAATCGTTGATAAAAATCACAACAGACCATTCAAAAAACAGTCACCAAATTCAGTGATCTGTTTGAATGACAGGAGGCACAAGACTCTATACATGCATATCCATAACATAACATTTAGCTATGTGTGAATGTTTTGCTATAAGCATCCTTTGATGGTTAGGACATATAATCAGTGTAATTATTTGTTGTTTTTTAATCAAAAATAATCGTATCCTACTATTTTTATAGTTACATTTCACTTTTTTTCCTGTTTTTTCAATGCTTTTCATTTTGGCCCATTCTTTTTTTAACCCTCAGTTTTCCTTTCTTTTTTCTCTCTTGTGAAATCCCCTTTATTATTACCCATTCGTCTTTAGACCCACACCTCAGAAGATGCAAAAGAGGAAAAAAACAAAGCAAAGAGGTTGAATGTGAGGAACTCTTCATCCTTATTTCCTGGGTGTTACATTTCCGTCCTCTGCTTTTTTTCCTTCTGTTTTCGTAACAGACTGAGATGAGGTCTTGCTGACCCTTCGAAGGATGAGTAGAACAAAGAGATGAAGCTTTCAGCATGTCATGCTCTATACTGACAGGCACCGACTCACAAACGCAGTATTTCACCAATTTCCAACTGCTTAGTTAGAAGAGAGGTGTTTTAGTGTGCATTTAAGTATATAAATCAGTATCAGTAAGGTAAAGAAGGCTTAGAAGAGCTAAATGGGCAAAAAAATGCTTCTTTTTATTCTGGAAGGTTAGGGGAGATAAAAGAGAAAGGCTAAGCCACTTAGCTCAGCAGAGAGAGACGGATATTGCTGTTATTAAGGAATCAGAGGAAATAAAATTTGAAGGGAGCAATGATTTAGACCAAAGCGGTATGGGTAACATCACACAGAAACACAGATGCATGAGAGAAATGGACACTTTTTGAAAGCAAGGAGATGCGTTTTGACCTTGTTTTTTTGCCCCATATGTTTCAAACACAGTTATCATCAGTGTGCAATGTTCTTGGCAATATATAATGGCAAAAAGACGAAAAGGAAGCAATGATGTTTTTTTTTTTGTCTTGCATTAATTATCTCCATCTTGTGCATTGATTGCCTCAGTATAGTTTTTATGCTGCAATTTCCATGATAGCATTTAATAATTGCAAACTCAATTATCATCTAAAGAGCTTCTGTCAGCAGCTGAATAAACTCCTCCCACTAATCTATAAAATTTATAGTTTTTATATCAAGAAGCTGGAAGGTACTTTTTCCTCTGCAACAATTACCTTGTTTGTGTTTGGAGACAATTTCCAGTGCAATCATTGGAGAAGAAACTCCAGATGTTTTGATTAAATAAGAAAATCATGTACAATTGTGTTTGTTTGCTAAAGCGGCTTTGAAGACCCAGTTTTTAGCATCTAAGATCTAAAAAAAAATATCCTGCAGAGCATATCTTAATCATTGTGATTAGAAGAATAGAAACATTTGTACTTGTATTTGTTTTAATTTTCCAGGCCCACAACATTGTCATACTGATTATTCTAGTCAGATATCCAGCATGCATGAAGAACAACACAGCTGTATAATGTGGGTTTGTAAACTTTTGTACTAAAAGCTGCAGCAATAAAGCTGCTCAGTTGTTCAGGGATGTTTTGTCCTTGTAGATACTTAGTTTTTTTTATATTTGTTTCACCTTTTTTTTTAAGGCATTCTGAAAAGCTGTTCATTTGTGTCAATCTGAAGCTTTTTGGAGTTTATGGGAACCAAAAAAACAAAAACAAACCCAAAATGTTAATACATGACATTTTTCTTTTTATTGTTAGTTCACTTCACCCTAAATGTGTTTTACTTTTGCATGCATAAAAAGCCTCCTTTTAAAAACCCTTTAAAAGGTGGAAATGTAATGTTCATGTCAGAAATGGAACTGTTAATTGGCATAAGAAAAAATTTATCCAAATCATTTAATTGAAAAACCAAAAGTTTAATCATCTTAATTTGATAAAAAAAAAAAAAAACTTTCTCAGATATACAAATCTTTATCTTAAATATATGATAAAATGAATACATAAACTTCTCTAATATTTGAATGAATGCTTCTTCATCCCTTCAATAAGCAAAACCCTTAATCCCACACTGCTCACTGGAAGCCCTACAATGGCAGCCCACTGCTCTCCAAGGGGATGGGTTAAATGCAGAGGTAAATTTCTGAGATCAATATCAATATAAATTTGTGAGATCAATAACTATCAATTATTGTTATTATTATTAATCTTTTTTTTCTCAGCGTGGCTGGATTTTTGACCAATCTTGTGTTGAATGATTAGTGTGTAAAAGGCTGGGCCATTACAGATACTTTTAGCAGGCTTCATCCTTTTTGCCCTGTTGGAAACAAATGTTTTTGTCCAGTTTTTGCTTTGGAATTATCTTTGTCTCTTATGGGTTTAAATAATAAACATAAGCAACTTTTCCATGCTAGGCATAAACTGTACTTTCATATACAGTAGTTTTTTACTGAAGAAGTTTTGACAGGAGTCAATTCTGCCCTCTCGAAACAGAGTGAAAATCTTGCACATACGAACTTTAAGTGGTATTATATGCATAATTTTTGTTTTTCTACTTTTGTTCATAGTACTTA